GTCTGAGGACCCCAAAAATCATGTGACAGATTGTCTGTCTGATTTTTTTTTCTTTTTTTTTTTTTTTATAGATTTGTCAACTACCTCCGGAGGAAGGCGCCAGCTGCTGGCACGCAGATGGAGAATGCCGTCCGTTATGTCCGGAACAGAGACAGACAGAGAGCAAGGGATGCTGCTGCTGCTTCAACTGCTGCTGCCGCTGCCACCACCACCACCACCATGGCTGCAGCCACCGCCACCACCACCACCATGGCTGCAGCCACCGCCACCAGCAGCAGCACCACCACCACCCCCGCTGCAGCGACTGCCACCGCCAGCAGCAACAGCACAGCCTCTGTCTCTGCCGCAAGCCAGAGAGCCAGGAGTGCATCACAGCACATGTTTTACTGTCAAGCTGTCTGACTTGGATGTAGCTGAATTTTTAAAAAATGTCAGTATTTGTCATATTGTCTCATTACAGATGTTACTGTGTGTTTTCTTGTTAAGGCCTCTTGGTTCTGCGCTTGCGGCCTTTGTCTCCAGGCAGCGTTCTCTGTCTGCGGTGGACATGCAGGCCAAAATAAAAAGGATGCTGGTCCCTAAGCCTGCACGTCCAGGCAAGTCCAGCCTGAATGACATGACATATATAATACAGAGTTAAACTTTATTGTATTTCTTGTGTTCATTGTATATGTTCTGTGTTTCTCTCTCATTGTGTGATTACAGCCTCCTCCTTCCACCCATTCAGTCCAGCTCTGCCATCAAAACCACCCGAGGAGCCTTCGGATGAAGAGCTGGTCAGGGCAGTAGTTGACATCGTGAGTAGAAAATAATGCAGTTTTCGTGTGACTTATTGTAAATAACTGGAAGGCTCTACGTCTTTGTTGACACTTCTTTTTATTTTGTTTTATAAATGATTGTGTAATCAGAGAGGAGAGGAAACGACAGGCAAGTGTGGTTTGAATGAAAAAGTATCTGATGTCTGCCTAATGCACGTCTCAAATCACTAACAGATCTGCTGACCAGTCACCTGTCAAAACAATGCTAATGAGGTCATCTGTAGAGAAACATTTTCTTCATCATCCCTTCCCTAGTTGCCTGTGTAACCCCTCTATCTGCAGCCTGCATTGCTCCCTCTTCACTTCTCATTTGTTGTCATCATCATTTTGTCTCATCCTCATTTTCTCTCTCTAGAATCACTGTCTGTGCTCCTGAAGTTTTTAGATGCAGCTTGGCTCATTGTGTGTGTGTGTGTGTGTGTGTCACTCAATATTAACACAAAAATCTCATAATTTCATGTAACTGAAACATTTTATTTCTCTTTGCCTCAGATGTACCGGCCCCTCTCTCGCTCCCGCAGCATCCACCTCCTGCCCCCACCTCAGCAGGATCAAGGATGGGGGCATGTCTGTCTATGGTGACAAAGCTGTATAATGTTTCGGTTTTTCCAGGCTGTCCAGCTGTGTAAATTCTACCTTCTAGAAGTGGCTCAACAGGAAGTGCAGACGTACTGAAGACTGCTGTCTACTGACTCAACACCTGGATACCACTTAAACAAGACCAGGAACCTTTTTGTTTCGAGTTCAAACTTGTGTTTAAGTGTCCATTTTGATAGGTAGAGAATTTTAGGGCACTGTTTTGAGCAAACTTTTGCAACAACTAAGCTGGATACAGATGGCATTTCTGATTTATCCTCTAAAATTTCACTTAGACTACACTTGACTAAGGTAAAGTGCTATGTTGGACATATTTTGTGTTTTTAAAGGACACTGCCACTGGAATAAGAGGTGCTTTTCTCTGTTATTACTCCTCATGAGCCTATAAAACCATGTACAAGTAAGACTCTTGAGCAGAGATTCAGAAGAACCTATAAATCACAGAGACGATGTATAAATGGTTTCAACTTTTGTTCATGCATAAATAAAATTAAATAGGCAGCCATGTCATATAGTTTTTCATGAGGTCGTAGAAACCTTGTTGTTTTAGATATTGAAATGACAGCTGAGCAACGCAAATCAAAGTGTACTTATGCTCAAAAAGACACGAGTGAATAAAAGCCCTTTTGTTCCGTTTTAGGCGTCAACACCAGCAGATTTATTGCAGAGTCACAGAAACACCAACTTCAGAAAAACAAGGCACATGCTTTGAAAACAGTTTCTCTGGAAACCACAACATTTCACACTCACATGCCATCCAGCACCAACTGCAACGGAAAACCTCTCAGATATAAAAACACACAAACCTGAGGGAGTTATCAAAGCCGTACATTATTTTGTGGCATTTTAAAAAAAAAAAAAAAGGGTAAACCTCCCCTACTGCCTTTCAAAGACGGTGCTACAAATAATGTTCCGCTTGGATTCGCGATGTCCTCTTTGTGCTTACAGATGTAAAAAGAAATCTGTCATTTTAACTGAAAACTAAAACAAAATATTCAGCATTTTGTTGACAAAGACTGCCTTAAAATACAGTTGATATGAGGAGTCACTGCATGCAAATGTCCCTCTGCAGGAACAAAGTGCCCACTGATGGCATACTAATGATGAACACTCAGGGTTTCAAAGTGGTGAAGACGGTTCTATGATTAATGTACAGACACAATCCTACTGCTGTTAGTGCTATGTGTATTACTTTGCCTTTTTTTATTGCTAACAATCCTGCGTCACAATCTACAAGTTGTTTCCAAGAGGCCGCCCAAGCATCTCGCTGGCTTATCAGGGAATATATTGTTTTCTCATTTACATATGCAAAAGCTAAATTATATATTAAGATGTGCAAATCGACATACATTGGTGTTTATGTACATACATACAGACAGACATATTTCTCTAGCAAATCCTTCAAGAGTACAGACAGTTATGACAGGAGAAATGATTAAAGCAAACAAGTTTTACAGATACAAAATAAGAGTGACGAAAAGAAGCTGTTAATAAGTGATGAAACCAATCAGAAAGTAGGTGGAGAGGAACGTCTTACGTGAAGGACGACAACCTGGAAACTAAAAGTGTTGCCCTCAGTATTCCCATTTTCTCCTATAGTGTTTTGGAAAACTTGACACGTCCCTGTGCATGAAATGCGTTTTGTCCCTCCGGCTAGTTAAACTGAGAGATGAACTCAGACCAGCTGATATTGGCCATACCCAAGTCCTCACCATCCAGACCAGTGAAGCTAATGTCCACGAGAATCTTACTCAGGCTGTCGTTCATTGTATCCAGGGCCAGGCCCTCTGTGACCGAGCAGTTAGTGGGTGCCTGAAGGAGCTCGCTGGAGCAGCTGCCTCTGTGGTACTCAATGGGAGAGTCTGTCAGTCCGGTCACTCTGGAGGGAGCGGACGTGAGCAGCTCTCTGGGGGAGTTAAACAGAGGCAACTCTTCAAAGGGAGTGCTGTTGAAGCTGAAGGTGGTGTAGTCACGCCGCCGCGTGACCGCGAGGCCACCTGGTGTGCGAAAGGGGCTGAAGTCCAGTATGTTTTGGCTCTCTTTGCCCACAGGGGTCACTTTCCACGGCTCGGGTAAGACCTGAGAGGGAGGCTTACTAGGTGTGGAGGAGGTCAGGTGGCTGCTACTTTTTATGGGGGTCTTGAAGGAGTAGTCCTGATCGGGGCTTTGCTGCTCCTGCTCGGGCTCGTCCGGCTCGGTGTCTCGCGCGTCCTGGAAAGTTGAGGCGTCAGAGGCTACGCCAGAGTCAAACAAAGTATTGTCAAGGCACAGGAGGATGGGCTCCTCGTGCTGAGAGTGAACCAGGCGCTGTTTGCGTCGGGAGCTGCTGGCTTGTCTCTTTGGGGGGGCTTTGGGAGTCTCGCATTTAATGGGGACGCATATGGGCTCCTCCTTCACCTCCACCTTGAGGTCTTTATTCTTCTGAGGATACATTACCACAGCTGGGGCGTCACTTTGTGTCACCTGTCGGACATACAATACATTTTACGATTCTACCAGTAACAACAATCATTTACCATCCCTGTCATATGGCTCGGAGATTAAGGAGCTCCCAGAAGCCAATGTTTCACTTATTTGTGGACACTTTCGGTCACCGTTCTTCTTTGAGTTAGCTGCTCACCGCTGCCAGCTGCTTTTTAAATCTCCCAGTGGTGGCTGGACTAGCGCTCATTTAATTTAATATTCTTGTTGTGCCCTTGTCTCCTGTCTGGAAAATTACAGCCACCTTCTAATTATCTTGGTGAACCGGCTGCCAATATTTGCATGATGGTAGTGGATGGAAAAGCACAAAAAAGTGCATTTTCTTTAGGCGATTGTTTTAAACTTAGGTGGACATTTGTGCTACATTTGGAGGAAACCCAACTCGCATATAGAGTAAGACTACAACTCCTCAAGACCAAAGTTCCTGTGTCTAATTTGCCATCTGCTGATTAAGGTGAAGGGGGTTAGCAACAAAGTTAGCAAGTGAAGTTAGCCTCCCACTGGAACATTAAGAATTGATAGTGTTCAGTTTCAAGTTAAGATTTGCCTTTGCAATAAAACAACCGTGTTTTATGTCATTGAGTCTTTTTGTGCTGTGTTTTTTTAAGTAGTGGTTCAGGAACCATTTAGGCAGCAGCACAGTTTTAAAAGTATTGTTTTGGCACCCGGTATTGGGGGGAAAAAACCCCCCAAATGATACCGAACCCTTTTGACACAACCCAACACAAAATGTTGGCATGGAAAACTCTAGCCAGACTTAACCAATATTTTTGATACTGAAAAATCTAAAATGTATTTTTAAGATGTCATATTTAGCTTCTCAAATGTTTACCTTAGGAGCTATCCGCACTCTCTTGGCTCCTCGCAAAGTGTTCTGTTTCTGCTGCGAGCTGGACGGGGGAAACGGGGCCGACGAGGACGGCAGGTAGACAGAGGAGGCCACTGGGAGCTGGATGGGAACCAAGTAGGAATCGGTTCGAGGGAGAAGAGGCTTCATCCTTCTCTCTGAGTGAAGAAGGGACAACAACTGTCAATGTCAAATGTCAATTTTGCCGACTTCCAGCTGCTTTTTTTTTTAGTCCCTTCAACCCATTTAGTGTCCCCATCTGTTAACTCACCAGAACTAGTCGGCGTCTTTCTTGCATCAGGAACGATCCTCCTTTGAGTCTGTGAAAAATGAAACAACATAACATCACTTTATAGAGTTAAAGCACACTGCCTGAGTGATCTTACTGTGCTCTCTCTGTCCTGACTACACTCAGTGACAACTTGCGTTCTCTCCCTGGTTTTAGGGTCTGGCAAGCTAGAACAGACAAAAGTCAAAGTTAGACTGTCCCTACACATTATTGTTAGACAAAGCCTCAGCGTCCCTGCTGCTCACATCTTCTCCTCCTGCAACAGAAAGATTTCCCTACACCTTAGCCCTCCATCTGCAGCTGCACTCTTTGGGTCAAAGGCTCTGGTGACAGTGAAAGTGGACATCTGATTTCCTGTCCCTTTTCTGCTCTCTCCTGCCTGACTGCAGAGATGAAGAATGTTCCTAGAGAACTGAAAAAGATAAAGCCATCTTACTTGGTTGGGTAATAAAAGCATTGGCACAGGAACAGGAGCTGTCATTGGGTCACAACCAGGCTGTGGAGAAAGATGTGGAATGAGAGTGAGGAAAATCATAAAGATTGGACAACAAAGATCCAAAACAATCCCCTGACACCACGGGCGACAATGATGATATCAAATATACAAAATTATGAACAACTTAACAAAAAAATCAAGTCAGTTTTAGGGAATCCTTCGATATAAAAAGGTGGAAGAATGTGAAAAGGGGGACAGAAGGGGTTCCGCTGACGTCATCACCTTGAATGGCAGCCTCAAGTAACAGCTCCCTCGCGAAAATAGTTATTTCGCCCCGTTAGACCGTTAAATACTAGATTTTCAGATATTACTTGAATGGAGAAGAGGGGCAAGAATGGGGAAGAAGGATGCAAACAAAAAAAGCACCGCTGCAGAGCCTGAAAATGAGGAAAACCCAAAGGACAGCTCTCCTACACAGACACAAGATGGCGGAGCTAATGCTAACCCTCACTCAAACGACGCTGGAGGAGATTCTGGATTTCCGAAAGGACTCAAAACAACAACTAAACGATATTAAATCAGAGCTCACCAACATTAACCACAAAATAGCAGAGGCAGAGGTGCGAATTGAAAAAGTGGAAGACCGTGTTCAAAACATGGAGCAGGTGTTGAACAAGATGATAAAAGTCATGCATCTGTTACTCGACCATGAAGGGAGGTCCCGACGGGAGAAAAACAGGCTAAAGGAAAAGATAGCCGAAAATACAATTCATAAAATTAGGGATCCAAGAACAAAAGTGATAAAAAATAAACTAAATGAAATTCAGGAAGCTTTTGAAGTGTTTTATAAAAACTCTATATTCTGAAGTTCCTGGAAGGAGTGTAACCCAAATTGACAGCTTCCTGAATTCCCTAGACTTACCCACTCTAGATGAAGAACAAAATGAAATAATGACTGCAGATATAACTGAGGATGAATTAAAAGTTGCTATTAGTAGGCTTAAATTAAGGAAGTCACCAGGATCTGATGGTTACACGGCAGAGTGGTACAAGGAATTTAAAAAAGAACTAATACCTGTTTTACTCCCCACACTGAATTGGGCTTTAAAAAAGGCACAAACGCCACCCAGCTGGAAGGAGGCAATAATTTTGGCCATACCGAAAGAAGGGAAGGATAAAATGGAGTGCGGATCTTTTAGGCCAATATCTGTTCTCAATGTGGATTATGAACTGTTT